GACAGCCCCTGCCCCCTCCACCTCTGCTTCCCAGACTCGGGCCCCTCACCCCTTCTATAAGGATTCTCCCAACTCGGCTTCCTTTGGGGTGAGCCACCTTCCCTCAGGTGGAGTCCCTGCTGGAGTGCCATTACCTCTTCCTGCTTTTACAGGAAAATCCCAGGGCCCCAGCTCACCTCTTCCTTGTGTCTTCCTGAGCAGCCAAGGGCACATCTGCCCAGCTCCAGGATTGGGGAGCACTGTGTGCTGGACTAGGTGGGGGGGGCCTCTGCCTAGAGAGCCCTGTCCCCTGCTGCTCTCTGGACCTGGGCCCACTGCTGTGCTCTCTGCCTGGTCAGAGGAGCTGGGAGAGCTCTAGGCTGAGTCCCCACAGGGCCAGAGCGTCCATCTGCTCCTAGGATTCTTCTGCTTAAAGCCCCACCTTTACGTGTATCTACATATGGATTGTTCCGGATCACTTGCGTCAGGGAGCCTCTCTTTCCACTCCAGGGCTAGCAGGCATAGAAGGCTCATCTCACCATCTGAATCTCAACTTCATCCTGCAAGAGTTCAGTGGCATTGGAACTGCGTGACCCCCACTTCACCTTTTTGAACGAGGAAGGGTAGCAGAGAAAGTAGAAGAGTGTGGTTTCCAGATTGTGTGTGAGGCCCTCCAGTTCATCCAGGCTCTGGGCTCCTGGCTCCCAGGCCAGGCCATGGGGGAGATCTGGGGACAGGGATGGCATGCTTTCTGCACTGTGTGCACACGAGAGCACTGTGCACAGGAGACATGGGCTTCAGGTGCCCTTCTAGCTCAGCCCTCATCTCCCTCAGCTGACTCAGGGCCCTGTGGCTCTGAGTCTCAAGGTTAGAGTTGCCGGCAGGTTCTTCCTTGACCTGACCTGGGCAGCAGGCATAACTCCCCAAGCCTCTTATTCATCTGTGACACTGGGGCAGAGGGCCACCTCATCAGAGCCATGATAGACAGCAAATGAAAAGAAATGTGTCCAAAGTTTTGCAGCCTGAAGCACAGCTGCCTTCCCGGAGCCCCAGTGGGCATGGGCTCCCTTGCCCTTCTTCCTGGTGTGAGTCTGCAGGACAGGAACAGAAGCAGCTCCTCTCTGGTTAGCCAGTTCCCGACTGTGAGCTGGAAGGGCCAGCGCCACAGGGCTTTCTGTGTGCTCAGAACCTGGACACAGTGTCCTGACGAGAGTCCCCCGCAGGGAGCTGGTCTGCAGGAGTCTGCGGGAGATGCGGCCCCTTAGCCCCTTCTGCTCATGCCACGGCAGCCATGGCAGCTACGGCCTGGTCAGCTCTCCCTGGGCATCTTGCTGGGCCATCAGAGCTTGGGGGAGAGGGATGATCGCCCATGTTCACTTTGCACATGAGAAGTCTGATGTGGAAGGTCAGGGATTGGCAGAGTCATGGGAAACCCTCAGCTACCCGAGCCAGTGAGACGATCCTGTGGCAGGGTCAGGAGCTCAGCTCTGCAGGTCTCAGGGCTGGTG